GTGTCGAATCTTTTACCCGAAATGGACGGTACAAACTTGCCGTCGATAAGAAGGTTGGGAAAACAAAAATGGAATTCGCAACACGTGCACAGGGTGCAAAGCAAAGGTAATACCTATACCTTAGCAAACGGCTTTGAGTATGCAACTCGATATAGAGGATATGCCGGGTCTGGACTAAAAAGCTCACTATACTCATTTTTATCTAAGAATAGATTGATTTCATCACCAAGAATGACTTCAGGGTCATCGGCCACTGGGGGTCGCCTCCTTTAGACGCTCGTCGTCGGACCGTGGAGAGCGATACGGATACGGCTAATGTTCCGTAGTACCAGGAACTGAAAGGTGCAAGTGACAGGAGATATACTCTCCGCGTATAAAGTGCACAATATCGTGAAAAGAGAAAGAAAATTCCAGTGTGGTTCACATTTGAATCGGGAGGATGCGACGTGCTACGTATGGTGTCACGGTGTAGTTAAGCATTGCAGCTGAACCTAAAGAGGCTAAAAAGAGGAACTGAAGAATACGATAAGAGTCCTGGTAGGAGAAATTTGTGAGACACGTGAGCTACTATTTTCATGCAATGCAGTTTAGATAGTAAAGTATATACCTCTCATATCAGCTTTCATTGAACTCTATGTCAGAGCGAATGTAAAGTTCGAGCCAAGCGAATCCTATGATGAGAACAAATCTCGTACTTGAGTCTAAGTCTAAACAGAGCTCCACATTATTAAGTTCTTGAAATCTTCTTAATGATTCAAGAGAAGATTCCGCATATCTATGCAGCGGAGTTGCTGTGCACCTTGCGCAGATACGTGCTAGACTCAACAGGTATGTGTCAATAACGCACGGAGGACAGCCTCGTACATTTCACTCAGTAGCGGAAAGTAAAGCTTCTAAGGTAGTTAGGTGCTTACTTCGTTATTTATGTTATTTATGTGACTTATATTGTGAACTAAGACAAAAAATTTGAGCGAAATAATCTGTTTTACAAAATTCAACGCATCACTCAGTATCAATACTATAGTTCCTTTTGAGCTATGTTTTTATCTCGAGGGATCATAGTGCAATACAAAACGACAAAAAATTTGGTACGACAAAATAACTCCATAAATTTATCCGAATATGAAGTATCCATACGTACAGAGCACTCATTAACTGATCCTCGAGCTACTAAAAGTACGCAGTTGTTATTCTTTAGAAAACACATGGCAACGATGTGATAATGTATTGCATAGGGATTGAACATATGCTGACCGCGAAAACTCATCATGGCAACCAACCTGAAGCCATGAACTGAAAAAATTAAGTCATGGCTTCTGTATAAGCTATCCGGGGTTGATTTTTCCGGATGCACCTTCTGGATGATGCATCGTATGATGCGTCCCAGCGACACTCATTTGTTTTGTTACGAGCCGATATTAATAGAGCACTAGAAAGAGAGGCTAGCTTACATCAGTTGAGCACAGGAGCTGATGGGCACTTGCGCGTATGACCTATAAAAGAGGAGTTGTTACATCTTTCCCGAGATTTTTGTGCCAGCTTGACGTTATGAACATGAAATTAATCGTTCAGTGTAGTGCAGGGATATATAATGTTTAGGCAATCTTCACACATGGCGTAGGGCCAAGGTTCCATAATAGTCCATGATCAGCCGTGTGTGGTTGTGGGTGTTGTGGGTCCCCACAGGACGGCCCCTCTTGCGTCTTTAGAATACTCAGCCAGATCTTGGACGTAATCGATCAGATACTGTGGGTTTTGGTAATCCAAGTCAATTTTTTAAACACAAAGGATTTTACGTCCTCTTAATCGTAATAGAATTAACACTTCTATATCTACTGGTACAAAGCCAGGTTCGACACAAGCTAACTAATTACACGTTAATATGATCGAAATTGAATGCACATCCACATTGGACGATAAAGTAGAACTTTGGACAGTGGGATAAGGTAGAAGAAGGTTTACTTGCTTTCCGCAGAAAGTTGCAATCATGTGAATGGTGATGGCTTCAACTCTATATAAAGATTGTGTTGGACCTGTCTCAGAATGACCATGATCCGCGAACTATCGGATCCATCCTTAGAGCGCCTTTCATTTAAGTGGAGAGATTGATGATCCAAAAATTCTTCGTAGTTTTCACGGCCATCATTTGCTTAATCATTGCGTCCAAGAGTGAGTAAAGTACGGGGTGGACGAGATGGTTTTTGAAGAGCCCACTTTGAAAAAATGGAGCTTCAACCTCTCTTGCACCCAAGTCCGTATACAAGGTTTCAGATGATTATGGTAGCATCAGCCCGATTCCTGCTTATTACGATGATGGGAAATTGTCGAAAGGCATTGCAATCATAATTCAATGTGTCAGTTAACAAATGTGTACGAGAAGGCGCGGCCGAAATATCCGTCTTTTATGATAAAAATGTATTTTATATGTCACGAACTCTATAATATGTGATGCGAATGTGTACACCGTCCAATTAAGCATTGCTTACGTCTATATTACGTACGACAACAACAAAGGCGTATGTCGGTCAATTAAGTTGTTTTAAAAAGTGTGCAAATTCAAACAAATCAATAGAATGCGACCATCAAGTAGCATGAAAAGTACGTTTGGGAACTGCCTTAAAAAAGGATAACGCAAACAGAATTTGATACCACGCTAAATGTTGAACACGTTCTTTACGTCAAAGGGCCACAATCTTAAGAATCAACATTTTTGATTAAGCGCATGTTTGTTCATTCAATTACTGAGCCCTTAATCTTTGTAGACAACTACAAGTCTTCCTTCTTCTTCTTTTGTGGTACAAAGAATCCAAACCGCTCACTACCATCGTCATTGTGCTTTTTGCCATATAACTGAAACCCATCGACATTAGTCCTCTATCATGCAAACTCAAACATCACACTTCTTCCTAATCAAGCAAA